GTGGTAGTGGCAGTGGTAGTGGTATTGGTGGGAGTCATAGTAGCAGCGGCGGCAGCAACAGCAGTAGTAGTAGTAGTAGTAGCAGCAGCAGCAGCAGTAGCAGTGGCAGTGGCAGTAGCAGCAGCTCGTAGTAGGTCGTAGTAGTCGTAGTGGTCGTCGTAGTGGCAGTGCGTCAGTAGTCATCGTCGTCGGTTAGGAGGAGGAGGAGGGGAGGAGGAGGAGAGGAGACACAGAATTGGGGTCGTGGTGGCAGTGGCCGTCGTGGAGAACGGGGCAGCAGAGCAGAGGGAGCAGAGTAGATCAAGGCGGCAGCATGGAAACACAGCAGTGTGCCAGTCATGCAACATCCGTAAATTCTGTCTCCGCAGAGCCTTCGGCACTGAGTCGAGCCACCAACTCTTCGAAGAGCTTGGTCTTGCCGGTGGCGTTCCGGCGGAGCGCGTGGATGAGTAACAACATTGGTGACAGAGACAGTGCATAGATCGTGTCGTTGTAGCTCTGTACGCCGAGTGTCCACAACAGACCTCGAAAGGGGAACGCTGAAAAAGAGTGTCGGATTTGACACTGCCGGAAACGAGGAAGGGCCCTAACCCGAACTGGGCCTGCTATGCCATAGGATGTGATGAGGGTCAAGAGCACCATTCGCTCCAAGAAGAGCGGTGCGAGCACCACCTGCCCACGAGGGTTCACCTCAAGCAGGCTGAAGTGCAGGCAAAGCAACCCGTGTCTTTGGGCTGCACGAGCAAAAAGGCTCTAAGGGAATCAACGACTGCTGTGGCAATATCTGCTAATCAGTAGCATGACACTTACTTTCTGTCGTGGCAACCAGCATGGCCGCCTACCTGGGCCTGCTTGGTCTCACAGAGGCGATCCCAAGGCTTCACGGGTGTAAGGCTTCGGACAAGGGGCTTAGAGCTTCAGGGCTCTCATTCCATCCGTGCTCCCTTTGGCTTCGTACTTCGGAATCGGGCAAGCCAAGTCTTACGGACATGATGGTGCACAAAGAGCACGACCATACGCTGGAGCCAAAGATCTACACAAAGCAACGACGGCAACAAGAGCAATGACAGTAGTAGCCCAACAGCCAGATTTACAGCTGCCTTAATTGTGGCATGGCCACCACGTGCAGCATACCTCCGAGATTTCTGATCGTACTATATGCTGTCCGAAACCTTCGCGTATGGCCACCTTTCGGCTCATGGTGTTCACTGCAGCATGCACGAGCCTGTTTCGCCGTGTTGGACGGAATACTGTCCCTCTTTACACGAGGTCGATGCGACATCGCCGTCGCAGTCGTCGTAGGAGTAGTTCATGGAGGACCATCAGCACCACCAGTGGCAGTAGCACAAGCAAAAGCAACAGCATCAGCGGCAGCAGAAGCAGCGGTAGTAGCAGTGTCAAGAGCAGTCATAAAGAGATTCTCACATTAGACTTCGCCTCTTGTTTTCTTGTTATACTTTTTGTCGACATCAGCCATGTTCTCAATGCCTTTCGCATTCTGTCGGGAAGTGCTAGTTATTCGTCGTGTTGTTTCTTTCAGGCACTGATATGTTGAAATGTTGGTATCTCTGCTGACCCTGTCCTGATGATTGTTATGAGCAGTGTTACTTTCTTTGTGGTTGTCATCCTGTTCTTCTTCTTCTTCATACCACTGCTTTGTGTGTGTTGTAGTCAATGGTGGTAGCGACAATAACAGCAGCACCACGCGCTGTAGCAGCACCACCGTCACCACCACCCCCAGCAGGGAGCCGCAAAGAAACACCTCAAAGCTCTCAAGATCGGACAGAAACACTGGAACGCTTCTGCCTTCCGGTAGGCGGCGATTTCAAAGACGCACCAAAGCCTTTGTCCAAGTTGGGATTGATATTGTTGTGGCTAGCGAGATTGGGATTGAGGATTCAGCGCATAGGATTCAGCAACTGTCGGGCTCTGGGGTGCTGAGCCTCTTTCCAAGCTGCGCTCGGTGGATGTGGCTGAAGCATAAACAAGGACGTGGATGCCTTCAAATGGCTCCAGGCAACACCGAAAGCCGAGACGTCTCGAACTCGAGACGCACTTTCATGCCCTGCAATCCCAAGGCCCTGAACCCGAAACCAACACACACCTTCCCTGACCCCGGAAGTGCAGTTCATGAGCTTCGGGCTCCGGGTTTTTGAATGCAGGGCCAAAATCTGAGGGCTCAGGGGTCTTGGCTCTTACGTCTGAAGCGGCTTCCTGGCATCCTCGCCATCTGAAGTTTTTGCGGTCCTTTCCACAGGTTCTTCAGACTGCAGAGCTTTACGGAAGAGAAACTCCATCATACCATGTTGAAGCTACACAGGCCGACAAAGACGCACGCAAACCGGCCGGCACGGCACGGCACGTCTCTTCGGGGTTCTTCGACAAGGAGCTTAAGTCGCTCAATCCGCAAAGGTTAAAACCCCCAAAAGGCCAAACAGTCTCAGACCTATATCGACTTCCCCGAACCCCATAAACCCTCCTCCCGCAACCACGATCCGCGCCTAGAGAGGTAAGAAGGGGACCACAAAATCCGAAGCTGTCGAGAAACACTCCTGGGATGATCCATCAGCCATGGCTGCTTGTTTAGATTGCACAAGACATGGCGTGAATAACCTGTAACCTATGCGACCTATCCTAAGTACCAGAAGATGCTCGAAGGCCTTTGTGTGGCCGACGTTTAAAGTTGAAGGGGATGCAGACGCGCCTATACGGATGGCAGGGGGACTCTAAACTTCAAACACACCCCCTAAGCTCTCCAACCTCTGGGACATGCAGAGGGGCAAAAAGCCAGCAATGGCATCGATGCCCTGCCTTTTCTTTTCCTTGGCTTGTCGCTGGGGTTTGATCCATGTCAGGTTGGGGTACATACTGTATGTTTCAGAAGATGAGCACTTACCTCCACCGTTGATGGAAACCTAACCTGAGCAAACCAAACAAATGGCTTCACGTCTTCACGCAGAGCTGCCGGGTCAGCCTGGTGGATGCACACCGCATCCATAAAACAATGGTCAGACCTCTCAAAGCGGAGGGGAAAGAGGGGTGGTGTGATGATAAGCACAGCGGTGTTCTTAACAAATACATACCTGTCCATTTATGTACCCGCCGATCTGCGAGCATGCGCACTTCCGAAACCAATGTATTTAAATGTTCGCATAGTTGCTGTGATGCATATATGTGCTCATTTCCGCACATGGGGCAATAGCCACTGGTGTGTTGGAACATATCCGTACATATATTCTTGACGCACTGATACGCTGACCCCACTGATTCATCAGTTGAATTTGCATGATATTTTACGGATATGCCGCATGCCACTACAAAATTTGGATCACATCCACCTTTGTAAATATTTGCGACTTTGGACGGCTTCAGCATTCTAACAGGTTGAAACAGCCTTTTTACATACTCCTGCAGGTATTAACCGACAAGTGTCATGTGTTTCGGTTCATGATTCGTGAATCTACAATGCCTTGCTAATGTCTTGGTACATGAACCTTCATACATCAATAGAACAAGAGCATGATCCCGAGATAAAAAATTACGACTCGTTCAGCGGGAGATTGACGATTCGGGATCAAGGCATGATTGGTCCAATCAGCTGTGTATATATATATACACACAAACCTCAGAATCAATCTGCAGGAGGTGAAGGCTTCATGCGCCTTCAATGGTCACTTAGGATGGGGCCTACGGCCTACTGCCCTCACGAAAGCTAAATATGGGTTCCTGATGATGGCGGTCAAAGCGTAAGCAGTAGAAAAATGAGGAAATCAAGGCTAACAACACGTGAAGAAAGCAGCAGCAATGAGAGCAGCAGTAACAATAATAGTCAGTACAAAAAACAGCAACAACAACAACACCTACACCTACACCTGCACCTGCACCTACACCTACAACTACACCTACACCTGCGGCTGAAGCTTGTTCAGGTCCGTTCGAGGTGAAACCACCTCCCACACAGTGCGTCCAACACTCATGAACTGGCAGCCAGTGGGTCGTGCCCGAAGGAGTTGTCTCCCTGAGCTCCCATCTAGTGGCGTCCAATCCCGACCACCAACCAGGGCCGGAGGGATGGTGCGTCCAGAAAAGAACGTGAGCCGTCACTCCTAGCACTGCCGGAGCCCGCCGGACAGGACAGTAGCAAGAACAGCTGGCACGGCGGCCGGTCTTCTTCTGAACCTGAATCCATACTGTCCCAATCGGCGCCTTGTCCTGGATACAAGTCAGGGCAAATAGCCAACAGGGCCAGCATTGGGATGCATTCGAACCGCACGCCATAGCTACAGCTTGCCCAGCTCGCCCGCATCTGTCTTGCTCCCAAGCACCGGCTGTGTTGCAGCGGTGCTGCACAAAGCCCTTTCGACGGTGCCGGCGGAACTCGATCGCTCTGGTTGTGTCGCAGCAGGTGGCAGACTACCTACCCGTGCTCGAAGGTGCCCGGACTTGGGACCCGGCTTTTCACAGAAGCTGCACGCTCAAAGCTCCAGAAGATCTGGATCTCCCTGAGAACCGTCCTCTCCCGTTCGCCAAAGAGACGTGATGAGAAATTCTAGCCGTTGCGAGTCGAGCCAGTGTACGAGCGCTGCAGAACCGTAGCGGCAACAAACAACAACAATAGCAGCAGCAGCAGCAGCAGCAGCAGCAGCAGCAGCAGCAGCAGCAGCAAGGGCAACAGAAAGAGCGAGGGAAGCAGCAGCAACAGCAGCAGTAAGCATAAGCGCAAAGCTCACCCCAAACAACCCCAACACTCCCCCCTGAGGACTGGCCTGCTGCAGGAATCGGGAAGATAGGGCGCCAGCAGAAGCCCCACGATCACTGAGATAAAACCTACGGTTTCGGTTCGGGTTTCAGGTCAGGTCTTTGACAACCGGAACCAATTCTCTGACCAAAGTACCATATTATATTGTTGTGACAAGAAGCCGCTGCAAATAATCCAAGGCCCCGTCGGGCAGCCCTCGCCCTCGGCCCACCAATCAAGGGCTTCCGGGTTCACGTGGCCGAAGGTGGGGAGTAAATCCATCCTCGGCTGCTTCCACTGTTCGGGGTTGTAGAGATCTTCCTAGTATTGGAAAATGAAAACCACGAAAAGCATATACAAGGAGAGCCCGGCAACAGGCAGACACACCAGCAAAGCACCACGGCCGACAGCCAGCAGCCAAGAAGAAAGCGATGGCTGGAGTGCATTCTTGGCTCCGGAGATGCTGTTTTCGGTGTGTGAGGGGCTTGGGCGGCTTGGGGGCCTGTTGCGATTCTGGCTCCAAGTTCGATGGCAGGCAAAAGCGTGCTGAGGCAAACAAGACCAAGTTTCAAAAGGGAGATATACTTCAGACCACCCCACGTCTCCCAGGTGTGTGACAGGAAGTAGTCGTACCTCAGTTCAGAAGACAACGACAGAGGAAGCTCTCAGTCACACGCTCAGCCCAGATGCTCCTCTGCCGGATGGGACCACTCGTAAAGGTCCATCAGGCGCTCCTCGGGAAGAAACGACAGGAGACTAGCAAGCTTCTCGTAACGAGCATGACCCTCGCCACCCTCATGATCATCATCATCCAGTGACGAGCGCCAAAAACAAAGTCATAACTAGCCAAAATGAGAAAGGACCTTCGATACGATGCCGACGCCACAGCCACCAACCCTAACACCATCACAACTCGCAAACACTGCCAATAAGAACAAAAAGAAGAATGAGAAGAAGAACCTGACTAAGAACAAAAAGAATAACCAGAAGAAGAAGAAACATTTCAATAAGAATGAGACGAAAAACGAGAACAATAACGAGAAGAACAACAACATCACCACCACCACCGCCACCACCACCACCACCAAAACTACTGACTGCCGAGACAATTGCACTGCAATCACAATAACATGCACGGGGACCAGAATGCTGCGCGTTCGCCGAAGCCAAAACCAAAATGATCGGTGACCCAGACAATCTGCCTGCTACCCATGCTGTCACTAGGACAGACTGTCATGCCAAACGCTAGAACCATGCTGAACATGTGGATTATGCAGCGCTGGTGCTCGAAATTTACAAGATTTCCACAGACATGGACTCAACCCTGGTGCAAGACGACCTCGGTTGGAGAGCTAGCTACCTTTGAACCCGCCCCTGGAACAACCCTGCAAAACCGACATGACATGCATGGTCTCCTCAGGCATTGGCAGCAAAGGTCTGCGCCAAAGACGCCCCATCTGCCGTATGGACTTGCGGAGGGTGATCGCCCGGATCATGCCCTCTGGACGTCTGTTTCGTCAGGTCTCTGTTCTTCGAGGTTTGGAGTTTCGTTTCAATCAAGGAAGGTGTCAGCTGGCGTCTTGGTGCTGTAGACCCAAAGCAGCATGACATTACTGATTATTAGGTGCTGCTGTATGGTACGCATTAACGCAGGAATGAGGCTACCAGGGCTCCGGAAGACCAACCCGTTCCACTGGCTTGCAACATTTCGGGGAATCAAAGACGTCGTTCGCAGGGCCGTGAAGTTGAAGCTCTAGAAAATCTCCAAAGTCCAAGTCTCAACATCATGCCTAGCCATTTGCCTGCTGTCGACATCAAAAATTTGGTTACGCAATCTAGACACTGCTGCTGCTGCTGCTGCTGCTGCTGCTGCTGCTGCTGCCGCTGCTGCTGCTGCCGCTGCTGCTGCCGCTGCTGCTGCTGCCGCTGCTGCTACTGCTGCTGCCGCTGCTGCTGCTGCCGCTGCTGCTGCTGCCGCTGCTGCTGGTTGTCCGCCTGCCCTTCCTCCCAGTGCTACCCCCACCGTACTGCCAGAGCGACTGACACCACCTCACTACTAGCACTACTCCCATGATAGCGACGACGACGACGAGGACGACGACCTCGCAGTAGTCATGTATGCTCGTGACTGGGCTAGTCTTGGAGTTGGAGGTCCATCGAAAAACTGTTCTTGTCGCTTCTTTTTCCGAGTACACTAAGCTAGAACTCGACAATACTCGTGCAACATCGTCGTGGCTGTTGCTAGTCTGGCCAGCCTTACTGACCTATCGACAATGAACTAACCAATGCTATGCTGGAGACGCTAGTAGCTGTGAGGATCCATGGTGTCTTGTTGCTCGCAATAGGCAGTCTATCGCACGAGGCGATTCTTAGAGTCGATCTCTAGCCCTGGAAGCCCTCTGGCTCCTGCTCGAGCTTGGGATTGGTCAAACTCTCCAGTCGCTCCGACTTGATGGAGACGTCCACCACGGAGTCGTCGGTTATCATCCGGAGCCTTGGCTGCAAACACGTCCTCTGTGCGCCCATGCTCCCGGACAAGTCTGTGACAATCCCGCCGCCGTTTGCTGCATCATAGACCTCGGATCCCGGCCTGTCGTTCGATAGCCTGTTCGGGCGTTCCGTTCGTGACCGCTCTGCATGCACGGGGTTTCCACAGAAGGACTCCTTTTCGGTGGAGGCGTCGAGGCCGCAAAACGGCAAAACGCTTCCCTGAGAGAAAGAATGAAAACATTTCGACTTGAGCGTTGGACCAATAACTGGATCCCGTGCCAGGGGATCTCTCGGAGAAGCTGTGCAAGGAACCGAAATCAAACGAAAGCCCTATACTGCAACCCGTCTTTGCCCAGCCACAGACTTCTCGGAGACACCGGTGTCAGTGCATCCGGCTGTGAAGGCTGCGAGGTTTCAGAGGCCTCTTTCAGCACCGGCGCTCCTTCCAGTCCTGGTCCGGCGGTCACGACCTGTCAGCGGTTCTCAGCCGTTCAAAGAAGGGATGAAGACCCTTTCTAACACCCTCACTAATCACCTTGCGAGCGCAGCAGGTCCCACCACTTCATACTCATCTAGCCAAACAGTGTCTGGCTGCGCCAAGTCCGGCGCAGATGACACAGACGTCTTGCAGATCCCGCACGACTTACGGCGAGCAGGCGCTGTTGCTCAAGCAAGGCAAGGTGTTCGAAAATGGAGACAGGAAGACTGCCAGGCTGCTAGGCTGCCAGGCCAGGCCGAAACCCATCAGCCCACGACAGGCTCGGGCCTCCTTCGGAGGCTGGGCCTCTGCCGCGCAGCTCGAGCAGCAGCCGCTGTCCAGAATCGGGATCATCCATGCGGCAATTGTTACATGGGGAAAACCGACTTCGAAATCTTGGGAAAAGTCTTGGGCCTCATGCCGCAGAGCCGTTGCTGTTCCCATGAGAGTGGCGGTGCACAGGACAGGACAGCGATGTTAGCAGCAGTAGTTGTCGTCGTCGCCCCAGCAGCAGCAGTAGCAGTAGCTGAGCTGTCGAATTGAAGGCTTCATGACGGAACCCACCACCCAAGAATGTGGCAGAAGCACATAGATCCGCGGGTTCGCGAGAACAATCAAAAAGCGCAATGCCTGCGACCTGCGGCGTCAAGCTCTAGTGCTTCCGAAAACAGAACGTCAGTTTTGCGCAGGCACTTGAGCTATGGCCTTCTTTGTTCTCAACCTCTTCATTCCTTTCGCATCTCCATCAGCACACGATCTCCTAAGCTCAGCCCCAACCCAACACCCTCAAATCTGCAACCCTCCCAAAGCGAAAACCGTAAGCCTTGAAGTCTAACCTTCGGGGCCAACCGAAGTCGGGAACCGGAAGTGTCAGGCCGGGAGCTCAGCCAAACGAGTCAAACTATGAAGCCCCCCTTTCACGAACTTTCTACATGGTTACAGCAAGAACCAGAACCCTTGTTTTTTGGCAGGAGGCAAAAGAAAGAACAGAACCCTCTTACCCGCCGCTCTCTCCTTCTTTTGTCTCCGCCGCCGAAGCTTCCGCGGCCTCGGAGGGCTCGAGGCTCCAGGCGGCGTAGCGCGCGGCCAGCTCGCCGGCCTCGGAGCTCGTCAAAGAGAACCTGAAGGGAAGGGGAAATTAGGGGATGGAATTCGGGTTTAGAGGAGGGGATTTCGGGGATTTCAGGATTTTCAGGATAAGGACTTGAGGAGATCAGAGGTTTCTTTTGGCTTCCATTGGGATTGGGATGAGGATGTGGGGGAGGGGTTGTGGATGGTTGGGGGCCCCGGGAGTTCGGAGCTTCGGCCAGGAGCTAGAAGCTGCGTAGTTCATGGGGACCCTGAGCCGTAGTTGCAAGTACGGGACTTTGCTTGATGGTGCGTTCTGTGGCGGTGAAAGAAGCATGAAACACGCCCACCTACAAGCGCACATGCCAAAGATCCAAAGGAAGGATTTGGGCTGAATTCTCCCAGCCTGTCGGGTAGAGCCATGCTAGGGGCTGAAAGCGCTCAAGCTGCATCAAAACTTCTTGGGCAGAAAGCACCAAACATCTAGCGGATCCTGAAACGGATGTCTCAGGACTCAACGGCTTGCAAGGATGGAATTCTGAGGAACCTCTTTGGATGGCTGGCCGCAGAGGCCGTCCATTCTCCAACACGTCAAGTGATTGAAGGACTCATGGCATGCAATGAACCACCGAAACTGACGTGAAGATCCCACGACAAATGCTCAGATATCAGCGGGGTCGAAACATAGCACAAGGTCCGTGGCTTCCTAGCATGGTCGCTGCTTGCGCTTCAGACTGGATCTGGGGCGCTCGCGTGCCGCGGCGAGGGTCCAGGCGCAGCACGCCGGACTCCTAACAGAATCCCGAAGCCGAAACCGAAGCCAAAAAACAATTACCCAAACTTGGGACCCTGAGAATGACTCAACACCTCACTGCAGCCTTCAGCCTGAACAGGCGGAGGTCCTCGGACACCAGGGCGATCCAGTGGCCCGGGCCGCCCAAAAACATCTCGTAGACTAGCAGGCCTCGCTGGCCTCAGAGACAGATGGCCGAAGGCTTTAGCTGGGATGTTTCGGCCCTAAGCCGTGGGTCCCCGAAGCCCAAGCACAAAGCGCAATCCCACACAACGCCTCGAAAAGCTCAACACTGGCCCAGACCCCAAAACACCCCCCAACAACTCTACTGTCACCTGGAGCCCCTGCACCCCTGAAGCTCAGAACTAATCACCCCAAACCCTGCCACGGGCCTTGCACGGCAGCCTGTGCCCAACGCTCGACCCAGGCCCTGCAGGAACTCAAACAGAACAGAAACCTTCGATCTCTGTACGTCTTGAACGCAACGTGCAGAGTCATCTGCCGGCAGTGTCGACATGGGGCGTGTGTGTGTGTGTGTACATAAGATACGGACGCCCGCGCATGCACATACGCAGCATCATGCAATAGAACATTGAATTCTTGACGCCAAAAACTCTCAGAGATGTCAGCTAAACCTCGTACGAGGCAGGCCTCTCACGCGCCACCGGCACCACCGAAGGTTCCCAGTCCCGCACCGAGCAGAGCGCCTGCCTGGGTCAAATGTCACATGGAAGCCTTGCTCTGCTGACAGCAAGCTCTTGGAGACACAGCAAAGCATCCCTCATGTAGGTATGTCACAGAAACGTGATTCAAGGCATGTCGAATTCCCACGGTTGCGTCGGAGCGATGGGGCTGGAAGTATACATGAGTTTTCAGCATGTGTCGGCAGATCTGTGCTGGATGGAGAGCGTACGCGAAACCCGGAAACCCCAAATCTAACCTGTTTTTTCCCGAATGCGTAGCAGAAGGTTTCTCGTTTCAAAGGTTGGGGTCCAGGGGTCCAATCGTTGACCAGGGATCGTCGTTAAAGCGTTCGCAAAGCGTTCGGAAGCGTTCGCAAGCGTTCGCAAAGCGTTCGC